ATCTTCTTAAATAACGAGATGCCATACTACAATGTCACTTCTTTCCATTACCAACCTACGTTTGTCCGACACTTCTTGTATCGAAAACCAAGTTTCAACAATTGCTTGCGAAGAGTTTTCCTTCCACCCATATATTTGATCTTTTCTTGCACTTTTCTAGGAGCATTTTAAAATATCCTTTATTTATGTACAGATCGTCACCTACTAAACATTGAAATGGCGGTAAAGAGTATAATGTAATGGGCATGCTTAAATTATTGCTCCAAAGCGTTTGTTTATTTACAAATGAATCTGAAGCATCTGAAAAGTTATTGCTGTTTTGTTTTGTGATTATGTAACTGAATGCACCCAAAAATCGTGCTAATTTCCTTTCACGCACTGCGCATGAGTCCCAACGGCTCCGCCATTAAAAGTCGGCCACTGTAGTTGGAGTTATTTTTCCACGCGCAGGTCGTATGTACTGCCTCTCTATTTACTTATATACAACTCTGTGGAAAAACACACCCGCGCACAAGATCTATTTTTTTGAGTGTGTAAAACCTGCATTAGCAGTAAACGCTGGTTAGTGCAAAATATGCAAACAAAAAATCCCTGCTCAACAGTGCAATTGACAGTTCGACACACGAATGTCAACCGAAAATGGCAAATGTTTTAATACGGTTTAGTTATTTAACAAAAAATCAAATCGGTAAGCACTTAGCCTACTTGTATTGAATAAAAATTGTTAAATATTTGTGTATGCAAACAGAAAACTAGCTCCCCGAAATAATGTTGGTTATGATTATATAATTCTTATTTATTTTCCTCTTTTCCAGGTGCATTGGGTCCTATTTCTTGCAGTCATGTGCAGCATTACTCAACACCACCCCCAGGCACTCCGCCTGCCCAAACCAAAACAAAGTTCGGCCCGCTTGCCGACCAAGATCGCATCTTCACAAATTTGTACGGCACTCACGACTGGAGATTGAAAGGTGCACTCAAACGTGGAGATTGGTACAAAACAAAGGAAATGATATGTAAAGGAGCCGACTGGATTATAAGTACGTTAGCATGTTGTAATAACTTGCCAATTAGTTTTGCCGTGTTTCAGATGAAATTAAGGTGTCCGGTCTGCGAGGGAGAGGAGGCGCCGGTTTTCCGTCCGGTATGAAGTGGTCATTTATGGTGAAGCCGGGTGATGGACGTCCTAAATATTTAGTGATTAATGCGGACGAAGGTGAACCGGGAACATGTAAAGATCGCGATATTATGAGGCACGATCCGCATAAACTAGTGGAAGGTTGTTTATTGGCGGGCAGTGCTATGGGTGCTAAGGCTGCTTACATATATATCAGAGGAGAGTTTTACAACGAAGCCTCTAATATGCAAGTAGCAATTGCGGAAGTAAGTTGTTGATTTCTCAGCATTGTTTTCCTGTGGTATCGAAATGTAGGTGTGAAGGTGTCACTATCAACTTCTGATACCACAATCTTATAATGTATACTCAACAAAATTATGATTTTAGGCATATCAAGCTGGCCTGCTTGGAAAAAATGCTTGTGGTTCTGGATACGATTTTGATGTTTTTATGCACCGAGGTGCCGGTGCTTACATTTGTGGGGAGGAAACAGCCCTTATCGAATCACTCGAAGGTAAGCAAGGCAAACCTCGTCTGAAACCACCATTTCCCGCAGATGTGGGAGTATTCGGCTGTCCCACGACTGTAACCAATGTTGAAACAGTAGCTGTGGCACCTGTAAGTTTGGTATCGCCACCTGTTGTTAACTCCAAAGTATGCTTTATAGACAATATTAAGAAGGGGAGGAGCATGGTTTGCGTCATTTGGGCGTACCCGTAATTCGGGTACGAAACTATTCAACATCTCGGGTCATATAGTGAATCCCTGTACGGTCGAGGAGGAAATGAGTATACCTCTTCGAGAACTAATCGAAAAACATGCCGGTGGTGTTACTGGCGGATGGGACAATTTGCTAGCGATAATTCCTGGTGGTTCCTCAACACCGCTTATCCCCAAAAGGTGAAGATAATTTCATTTGGCACTCGTCAAAATAATTGCATTGTAGTGTTTGCGACGATGCCATAATGGATTTCGATGGGCTCGTTGCATGTCAAACAAGTTTGGGAACGGCAGCTATCATTGTCATGAACAAACAGACAGATATTGTAAAGGCGATTGCTAGGTTGATTATGTTTTATAAGCACGAATCATGTGGGCAATGCACACCGTGCCGTGAAGGTAAAGGCCAGATTTGTGTTGCAGAAACTTAAATGAAGTTTTTAGGAATTAGTTGGATGAATAAAATGATGTACAGATTTGTTGATGGGAATGCAAGACCAGATGAAATTGACATGTTATGGGAACTTAGTAAACAAATAGAAGGACACACTATATGCGCCTTGGGCGATGGAGCTGCGTGGCCAGTTCAAGGACTTATAAGACATTTTAGGCCCGAGCTAGAGATGAGAATGGAAAAATTCCATCAACAAAACCAACAAAAGATGTCTAATTAGGGAATTGAACAATGTTTTATTACAGTTTGTGAAGATTAATAGTTCAATATACTATGTAAATTAAAATGACGGATTTTGTTATGTATTCGATTATATTGTTTTTTATTTAATAGTTGCTTGTAGCAATTCTAGTGATCAGTTTTGTCTTTGTAATATTTAAGTATGTTGTAAATAAAACATTTGATCTTTGCTGGCTACGAGCATAGAATATTTCTAGTAAATTTAATTTAAAATGGGCAACTCAAATAGATTTAAAAGTAACTCCACTCCTTTCCCATTTCTGAAAAATATTCTGATGTCTTACATAAAGTACATGAAATACATAATTGTTAATTAGCCGGACCTTCTCCAGCCCATAAGTTATCCAAGGTTCTGAATACGGAACCTTAAACCAGGGGTTGGAACCCATATGAAATATAAGTACCTATTAAAATTGTTTCTCATATGTGCACGTCATTCTTTATGTAACTGATGTAAATAAAACTGCCACTAAAACAAGCATGTTATAGCAAAGAATATATAATAATTACTCTTTGGTTATAGTTTATTGCCCATATAAAAATATAATAACAAAAACTATCAAACTACCCACATATAACTTCACAAAATACACATCTTAAAATCTAATTACAGACAGTGGGGCGTAAAATCCATCTTCTCCCTTAGATGACATGCACGAAAGGTGAATGGAATCCAAAACTTTTTCTCCAAAATAAAAATCTTTATATTTCTCAATAATGCTGGTAGCATTAAATGGTATCCGTTTTGTGGGCCATCTCGACCTTTTTGGTGTGTTTTGTGCAGATTTACTTCTGTACTTGGTATTCATAAGTGTTACGTGTAATCTAACATTGTCAGTATATTGGATCAGTAGCCCTACAAATAGGCGAAATTATTAGCTGTTTTAAATAATTATGATAATAACAGTCTCGCTTTTTTGCTATTCGCGCAATTGTCGCAGGGGCACTGGCTCCAAACACATGTCACTGGCACTAATCTATTTAGACGCCTATTGTTCCCCCACAGACAAACTCCAGGCTCATTTTTAGAGGTCGTAATAGGACCCTATTAGACTATTAGAAATTAGTCAGATACATTTAACAGTAACATGAAAAACAGGCCCTTAAAGCGAGTTTTATTTCTACACATATTTACCACGATTGTAGAAGTAATCAGAAATAGCATTAGCCAGCTTTTGCAGGACTTCTTCATTGTTATCTTGCACAATCTTTGCATTTGCATATAACACGTTCACTTTCGAGTGATTGTCATTCATGCAATCAATTCCAGCCACGTGTACTTTTAAGGGAGTTTCACTGCTTAAGAAAGTGCTATAAAGAGACAAGCCATTAAAGATAAATGAATAAAATAAATATCTCACTCTAAAACTTCAGTTTTGCAATCATTTAAGGCCTTGACAGCCTCCTCTTTCTCTGACGGACTTAATAAAACAAACACACAAATTGTTAAATGTAATTTGAGTGGCGATTGGAAAACACTGTCCTCCACACCTTCTATAGGACCAGCACTCAGTATTGCATCCTAAACACTGCGTGTAAATATTCAGTTAATCATCATAATCTCTACTTTAAATTGCTGAAAGTTTCTTTGTACTTCTTCACTATTTACAGGAATCGATATAAATTGAGCAGCAGGTTGTTTATTACGTATTTCGGCAACAATGCTTTGTACTGTCCGTCGAGCATTCACCACATCATCAGCACAGTCTCCGCTTATAGTCATACTGCCGTCATCCCTTTGTGGTGTGCGAATAACGGTGCGTGTATCTACCTCTATTTTCCTTCGGCTTAAGTAAGGGAAATTGTTTAAACCAACATAATAAACACTATAAACTCTCTTTCGTTAATACCATGCTCATTGTAACATTTACTTACGGTGGTAAGCAAAAACTTGTAGTGAAACGGTTATCCGTCTCTGTTAAAATGAAGTTATGCTCTTGCTGTAGGTTCAAATCTGTTACAACAGAATCTATGCAGAACAGAAACATTTAAGCAAGCTATTCTTAATGTTTGGAAGGCAGTATAATTAATGTATAATATACCTGAATTGGTTGGCAAATTACGATTAAAGGCTGTTCTTGTTTCAAACTTAGGTATACTAAAGGCTGTTCCATCGATCCACATCTTTATGGGTTTCGTTGAACGATTTATTTTACCCATGCTGTGAAAATTGGTTGAAAAAATCACGTAAAGCTCTGAAAACCAAAATTCCAAACGAAAAATAGAAAAACTGATAAATAAAGATAAGTGTAATGTTTGCTATAAATAAATCAATAAGTAGGTCCAAGATCCACCTTGAGTTGGTCCAATGCCCTCCAGCAGGTGGCTAAAGCAGAGAATCTTTGATTTAGCGTGATCGTGATGTGATCCACGGTTGCATTGCATACATGCACGTTCACAGTTAAGCCCGTTTGTAACCAAGGTTGTTTTATTAGAAAGGTTGTCGTAACCATAGACAAAGCACATTTAGATACATAAGTTAAATGAACAATGATGGAATGATGTGTTGTCTTGGCTAAATGCGTTCCCTACTTCCGTTGGAGGGCGCTAATAGCGGTTTGAACAATGTTTGAACATGCGCATTAGTTATATTGTCATTTATTTAACGCGTAGCGCGTGGTTTTGTTAATCTAACCTAAGTTTGCTGTGTATTTTCACGTGGTAAATATAATTCGTATAAAAGATAACGGTTAAATATTGACTTAATGTTCGTGTTTATGCAGTTTTAATGTGTAGGAAAATTGACTAAGTTAAGGATTAAACTCAACTAATATGGTATTATGCAATAAATACTAGTTAATATTAAATAAACGAATGGACGTCTTTAGGTAATTGTGCTATGATGGATGCTAATACTGTAAAGTACAAGAATAAGTGTTGTGTACCTGGCTGTGATGACAAGGTTTTAAAACGACATCGTTTTCCAAAAGACCTAAATCTTTTAAGGAAATGGATTGAAAATATTAAAGTTCCACATTTAATGGCATTGCAACCGCATCAAGTATATGATACAAAGTTTGTTTGTCAGAAACATTTTGCTCCGGAATATGTGGTCCCTGGAACCAGAAGGGGCCTTCGTCGAGATGCTGTGCCCACTTTACACATATTAGGTATGTAAATTAATGTAGTAATATATGTATAATGTCTAATTAATTGTTACGCAGGCAATGTGGTAGTAGAATCAGCTGTACCCACACGAAATTTATTTGAAGACACAGAAAATGATCCCATGGAAGTGACCGCAACAACAACTGTACCCACACGAAATGTATTTGAAGCCACAGAAAACGTTCCCATGGAAGTGACCGCAACAACAACTGTACCCACACGAAATGCATTTGAAGCCACCGAAAATGTTCCCATGGAAGTGACCGCAACAACAACTGTACCCATATCTTCCTCAATAAAAAAACCGCAAGGTATTTAACTTTTTAACCTATATATTATATTTATGACTAATTTTTACACAATCTGATTAAAATTTCTGGTGCTTACTGAACCATTTACAATTTTCTGCATGATTGACATTTTTGAATTACTAGCTAATTGTAGTAGCCAGTAACAAGCCAGGAACTTTGATGAGCTAGTATAAATCTTGGATTTAAAGATATATTTTTATATGTTTCACGTGAATATAATTTGTTACAGATATAAAAAAGAAAAAAAGGATTTTGCAAGCTGTGAATGTGACCAGACAAATTCAACTAACACCTAATTGTCAAACATTTTATAAAATGGTTACACAATTAAATACCAAAGCCGCAAAATTTCATATCCAACGGGAAAGTTACCGAAAGCGATTGATGCACGCTGAGGCTGTTGCTAAAAATCCAAATTTTGCCAATTTTGCTGATGTGATTAATGAAACTACCTATAAATTTATTCTCCAGCAACTTCGTAACCAATCTTTACCCCCTAAGGCAAGACGTTACACTATAGACGACAAGTTATTAGCGTTAATTGTGCTAAAATCAAGTAGCAAGGGGTATAAGATTTTGTCCAAAATATTTTCCCTCCCATCAAAACACACTCTGCTAAATATGCTGAATAAGGTTCCTTTTCGTCCTGGAGTTAACAAGCAGATATTTGCTAGTTTGAAGGATGTTGTGCAGAAACTTTCTATTAATGAGAGAAAATGTGCCCTTGTGTTTGATGAGATGTCAATTTCTCCTTCCTTGTCGTACAACATAAGAGCTGATTGTTATGATGGCGTAGAAGATTTTGGAAAGGAGAGATTTCCACATTTGGCTGATCATGCCAATGTATTTATGGTCAAGGGAGTATATCGGCAGTGGAAGCAAGCATTATCATTTACATTTAGCAATGGGCCAGTAAAATCATTGCAACTTAAAAAGATGATTGTTGAAATTATAAAGGAGTGTCACAATATTGGCTTTGAGGTAGTGGCAACTATTTGCGATCAAGGTAGTGCAAATTCATCAGCAGTAAATTTACTGATTAAAGAAACAAATGAACATCTCTTGAAAAATGGCATTGAGAACAAATATATAGGATTTCTAGTCGATAATAAAGAAATTGTTCCATTATATGATGTACCCCACTTGTTTAAAGGAATTCGCAACAATTTACTATTGAAAAATTTGCATTTTACAATGAATGATGTGGAGCATGTTGCAAAATGGGAGCACATCGAACAATTATATTTTTTGGACACTGCAGAAGATACACGTTTATTGCCAAAACTTACAGATCGTCATGTGATTGGCAAGAAGATCAATAAAATGAAAGTTGCCTACATGACTCAACTATTTAGTCATGCAGTTGGTGCACATTTACAACGTTTTGCTGGCTGGGGTATGTTACAATTGGAATCTATGATCATTTGTGTATATATACTTTTTTTTAGATACACATACTCCGCACAATTTACCATTGGAGGCAACACAAACTGGTACATTTATACTATTTATGGACAAGTTATTTGATAGCCTTAACGGAAATAATAAAATCGCCCCACTAAGTAAACCTCTTAAAGGGGGACTGACAATGACATCTGATCATGAACAATTTTGGCGTGATGCAATTAGAGTGTTGGAAAATGCGAAATTTTTTGATTCACAAAAAAAAATATTTTGTAAAGTGCCCTCAATATTAAATTTGGTTAAAACATTAAAAGCCTTCATATACCTAAAGAAAGTATTACTGATAAATAAGATGCAATATATATTACCTCGAGCTTTAAATCAAGATTGCCTAGAAAATTTTTTTGCTAGTATGAGAAGTCATGGAAGGAGAAATATTTCTCCAGATGCTCGTCATTTTATAACTTCATTTAAGGCTTTAATTGTAAATAATTTCATGTCTAGCCATTCTCCTTCTTCTAATTGTGAAGACGATTTCACTGTTGGCGCTTTAGATAATTTAAGATCATTTATTACTGGAGAAGAAGTTCCCGGCATTTGCTTATTAGAAAATAATTTTACGATTGAGACTAGTTTTATTGTATCACATTCAAAAAAACGTCCTATTGCGAAAGCTACTTTAGCGTATGTAGCAGGATATGTAGGTAACAGAATATCAAAAAGTGCAAATTGTTCAGTTTGCAAGGACATGTTAACCACTTCATATGGTAATGTTCCGATGGATGTTATTGAGGCAAGAGAATATAGCAATTCCCGCTTGTTCAGACCTGGGACATACTTGTACCTTGTAATAAGTCAGGCTTGTTCCAGATTATTTTATTTAATTCCACGTCATTGCCACAAGTATGGACTAAATCGGTCGTTAATTGCATTTATAATGGAAACCATTAACTTTGATTTTCTTAAGTGTGAAAAGCATACTGATTTAGGATTACATGTTGTTAAGTTAATTGTGAAAGTTATTTTTTATTTTTGGGGTAAGCAAGTGAACAAAATTTTAAATGGCAATGATGAAAGGTTTGTTAGGTTACTTGCAACTAAGCCAAATATGACCACAATTGATGCAATAAAATTAGAGGCACATAGGAAATATTTATCTAAATTAAAAAACAAAAAAAAGTATAGCATTTAAATTTGTATTCTTAAGTATATTTGTTACAAATTGTATATTAATGAAGTGTTGCAGTATTTTGTATTGTAATAGGTTAGTATTGGTCTAAAAGGTTATGATTAATGTTTGTTTATTCCTAAACTTCATCAATTTAATCCTGATGTAATATATCTTGTATTTATATTGATATGACAGATGATTTTTGTCAATAAATAAATATTAATTTTTGATGTGCTCAATTTCACCTTCTCATTACATTCAGAAACAATTGTATGATTTAAATTGTAGTGTACAGTTCATTTTATCTGAATTTACACTGAAATTTAAATTGCAAGCAGCAAATAAAACCAAACACCCAAGTAGGGGTACCGCACCCGCCCCCCCCCCTGAGATTGTTATTAATTCAAATTTCCCTCTTCAGTGATTTAGTTACCCCTACATCCACCTTAGCGCCACTTTTTCATCCTCATTGGTACTATAGAACATGTCCATCTAAATGTGCTTTGTCTATGTTCCAAGCTCACCCAATTAGACGTCCACACTCCCTCTCATTGAAAACTTTTAACAAATTGCAAAATTTGTTATTATATCGAAGAGATTTTTTAAATGAAAAATAACAAAGTATGAGTCAGAACATAAGAAACAGGTGAATGCCTCATATAAGAATCTGTTTCGACTAATTCCCGAAATAGTTGGAGATAGGTAAGTATGGGATATTGTATATCAAATACGTCTAGAACGTTTTTACGAATCCAAAAATTGAGTAATATAGGGTGTTGTATTAAGAAAGTTAAACATTATTGCGTTTCCTACTTGTTTTCATACCTACGTAGATTACAGAGAAATGTACCCTCGTAGAGGCAGAGTTTCCTTAATGTGACTTACCGTAAGTATGATGCGTTGGAGATGTTAATATTGCTCTTTCCCTTAAAATGCAAAGATCGAGATAAATACCCTATTTCGACTAGATTCAATTATTTTATGCCCACCTTCATGTCATCTTCTTGTGGTAAAAATGTGCAAGAAACGAATATAAAAAAAATCTAGAAACTGTTCGACAGTTGGGAGATGTAGGTATTTTGTAATGATTGGTTTACATTTTAAATTAGGTCATCAAAATTTTAATCCGGATAAATTACAGCTTCGTTGGTGGCGAAAGGTGCTAACAATTTACGTTGGTTGGAAGTATACTCCATAAATTCATTGTATTGTTAACATTTCTTTGAGTTGTCGTGAGATAAAGTATTATAAATGGGATACCTTTAGAACTATAAACAATACATTCTATTGTTCGGTCGCGTTAGTTGTTTTTTTTAGTGTAGCTACAGACAACGTGGACTAGGAATATTTTCTCATACAATTTATCATGATGATACCAACATTTTACTATAAGTTCGCTATACACTGTAACCTTAGGGAGGTATTTCCTCGTCTTAATTTTGCCTTAATTATTTTTATAGTGTGTTGTGTATATCCCTAAAGAATATTCCTAAGTAGTTAACCATACTCAGTATGCTTTTGATCGACGTTACTTGTGTGGTGTGCTCCGGTTTGAGTGATTTCAACGTAAATGTGTACTTACCTTAAATATTAATATGTACAATAATATACAGCTAATGAGTTACTGTTGAATTAATTGTCAACGACAGTGAGATAGATATATGTTCAGCAGACAAGCGTTATTTATTGATGCATAAAAGCTTCAAATTAATTTCAATTAGAAGTACGGTAAGTTAGTACTCCCACCCATATCCAGAGTCATTAAAAAACTAAGAAACCGGCTTCAACGTGGCGGCATAAGACATTAGAAATGGATACGATTTCATTATAATTGTGTGCAAGATAAATCCGAACAGCTGGGAAACCAAAACGAAAAGACTTGAATAAACAAGGCGAAATGGGACGAATAAGCCACCAATTAAGCACATGTGTGATAAATTTGACGAAATTTCGGTCATTAAATGAAATATAAACTGTAGTTTGGCGAAACTATAAAATTTCATAAACAAAGCGTACCACTGTATCAACTCGTACCTTTTATTTTTTGCTAAAAAAATTGTAGCACTTTAGTATAAACCGATCTATTTCGGCTATTAGAGCTAGACCCTTTAAATTTCTGGTACATCTGTCTCCTCCTCTTCCTTGTCTGTTCCTTTCTACCATGTCCTCTCTTCCTCTATGTATCACTTCCCTTACTTTCTCTTTTCATCATTTTTCTCTGCGGCGTAATCCCTGCTTCGTCATCTTTTCCTTGCCTCTCCTCTCCTCATTCCTTTATCTACTTCACTGATGCTGCATTTCTAATGCTCTGATTCATATTTTTAGATCCTTCCTCTCTATTCTCACATTCTTCTTTTCATTCGCTCAGTTTTCTTCTGTAAAATATATCTTGTGTCCATGTCTGCAACGCTCTTCGACTGTCTACTGTAAAAGTGCTTGTCCTTCTTATGTTCCTTTTTTGTAACCAATAGCATGCGATTATTTTGTAAATACCGACCAATGAGGATCAGATTAGGTTGAAATTCCACCACATTCGAAAATGTAAATAAATAAATCACGTAGTTCAATTTACGTTACAATATATTTTGAGGAGCAATCGGTCTAGGGGAAACCTAGCAGAAGATGGATAGATTTTTAGAAGTGTTTTAAGGGAGAAAAGGTAAAGACACGAACGATCGGATTGAATGGAGGAGGAAGGTAAGGAACAGTTACCCCGGCTTCCGAAATCTGTTTTTTTACAACGAACTTTTCGATATCTTGCCGCGTGCTAGTGAAGGATGCAAATCCCTTCATTACGTCGTCGGGACACTGGCTTTAAGCTTCAAGGGCAGTTTTCTTTCCACGCCCGTAGTAACCGGAGACGGTGTCACAACCAGTGATCGCGGTCCGGTCATATAAACCGTAAATGATGTTGCCGAAGTTTGGAACTAAGACGCCGAAAATAATCAAACAAATATAGCAATTGGCTAGTTAGCACCTGAATGGGTAGACAACCCCTACTCGTATGGCATTAGCAATCAGCAGTGGTGTAGGCAACTCTCCCTAACAGGAGTTTCATGGGAAAATGAGCGTGACGCCACA